TTTTTTTTTTTTTTTTTTTTTTTTTTTTTTTTTTGTAGGTGTGTGTGAACCGTTTCACAGCACTCTGAACAGATGTCATCAACAGCATCGGTTAGAGACGATTCATAGTGCTGAACCTATTTTTGGAAACTGTTCAACAAACCTAAAACGGTCAACACCTTCTAAAGGTCAGCTGATCAAATCTGTTAAATGAAAGATTATTCTGCAACAGCAATTTGTATATTTTTGATGAGCATCATTAATTGCGGTATCCTAAATGTGAACTTCCAGGATAACCCGACATTGTCTGCAGAATTAGTTATCGTCAAAGACAACTTTTACACAAAATTTTTTCAAACTATCTTTCAGTATCTAAAAATTTACGCTTAATTTTCGTAATATACTGATAACGATAGCAGATAAACAGTGACTAATAAATAACTGCTATAATAAATATATTTTTTGATTAATTAATTTGGCTATGCAGTCAGTAATACTTTTGTTTCACTAATTATTTAGTATATAAAGAAAAAAGCAAAATTTTAATACAAAAGTAAGCAGCAGATGGTTTTCTGTAATTGCTTTAACAATGAAAACATTTATTGTATCAGATTTATTTTTAAATTCTAAAAAAACCGATTAATTCTCTAAAAAATGTTTGAGGAATATTTGAACAAACAAGAAATACTACTGTCTTCAATATTGACTTGACTTATTTAAATCTATTGCACATAAACCACTGCGATAGAAAACATTGATGACTTTACTATTCTTCTTCTTAAAACCCAAACAAATTGAACAATAGACTTCAAATCGGTTTACCGACACCATATCAACCATCTCTATCAGATAGACACATATAAAAGACAGTAATTTATAGGTATTCAAGTAAAGCAAAAAACCGCTATTTTTTTGTGACAGGTTTCAGGCCAAACTGGTTATGTATAAGAGCAGAAAAAAAGAATTTTTTTTATTTATAAATGTTTACAGAAGAGGAATTATAAGTTGAACAAAGAAAAAAAAACAGATCTATACAGAGGGTAGAAGTTGTTGGATATGACACATTTGAAAAAGAATCTAAGAAAATGATTAACAACAACAACGATAAAAGATTTGTAAAAGCAGCAATCAAAAGTTTAGACATTTCTTTATACAAATATAAAAATACAGCTCTAAATTTATTTATTTATTTATTTGTTTAGAAACATTATATATTTGGTAGAATTCTTGCTTATAAAAAAAAAAAATAAATTAAATAATCCAAGCGCAACTATTTCAGTTAATGCTTTTAATTTTTTTTTTTTATTTGATTAGCAACAAAAAAGAATAATGTTATTTAATCTTCAGCTGATTTATAAACAGCATAATTTTTACATTTTTTAGTTTATTTATTTATTTATTTATTTTATAGTATAAACCAAACTGTAATTGCAATAAAGTACGCTAATGCTGAGACCACAAAAACTGTATTATTAATTGCATAGGCAATTGATGTATACTGACATCGGTTGTTGCCCGCAACTTTTGTATCCTCTTCAGTTGTCGGAATACGCAAAATTCGATTCACCAAACCGGCAAATTGCTCAATCCAATGTGGTGCCGGAATATCGCTTTCCGTTTTAGCTAACTTACGCAAAAATAGTGCAATCAGGAACAACACTGTTGTAACCACCAAATTGAATCCGGCATATTTAACTGCAAATTACAAAATAAATTGATTTACAGGTGTTGCAAGTAACAATTTTACATTAGTTGTCCCCTTCTATAGTCATTGCCAACATTACAACAAAGTCTTGTTAGTTCTTCTTTCTTTTCTACTTTATTTGAATACATCTTTTAGCAATTTATTTGTACTGCCAAACAGGAAACGGGTAGTAAAACTGTTCTTGAATAAATCATTTCGTTGTCAAACTGTTGTTGAGCTAATTTAAAGCAATGAAAGGTTGATCGTTATGCGGTATTTTTTACAGGTCATACGTCTTGCAAAAGACATAAAATATCAAGCGAAATTTCCGGTTACATCAGTACAGTAGTCGTAAATCAAAAATAAATAAATAAAAATGTTGAGACGTTCTTTCTCTTTGTGTTTCAATTCAAAACTTACGAATTGTTGGTTGATGAGCAGCAAATATCGGTAGACGACTGTTGATAAGATGTAAAGATAACAGCTGTGATACAATCGAAAATGCCAACAAACAGGGCTGTATTGTGGACAATTGGAACAGTGCCGAAAATACTGTTAAAGCTGTAGTGGCCAACGATGGCAGTACCATTTCGGTCATATAGTATACAGCATTACGACGAAGACTTAAACATAATTCACAGTTGGATGCCTGGATATCATATGGATCTCGTTTCCAATCACCAAGCACTTGTAAAACATATTTACTATCCTAAAAGATTCTTTAGATGTATACCGCCAAAGAAATTTTAGTTTTTTCATCAATAACAATACATCGAATCACAGTCGAACTGCAACTATTTGATTTGAGGAAATAATTTTTTTAAAGAAAAATTAACTTATGATGCGATTATCAGAAATAATTTACAACATCACTATTAAGATTGTTGTGTTGTCACATCACTGTTGTGTTGTCTTCTTTTGTTATATAAGTGTTTTGATAATAATGCTTTTTTTTTTTTTTTCTTCAAAGATTGACCTATTTTTCAAGCTGTATTTTTTGGATCACTCTAGTGTAGGAATTAAATGTGCTTAAAGTTTTTCTACAGTTGATATATTACAGTTATCTAAGACCAACCAGCTGTAAGAAAAGTAAGGTAAGTTTTTTGAGTCGAAAAGTTGATAAAATAAAACTTTAAAGCTGCTCAACTATTTTTTTTACTAAAAATATATAAACCCTATAAAACACTGTTGTGTTGTCTTCTTCTGTTATATAAGTGTTTTGATCATATTTTTAACCCCTATTATTTCAGTTGTTATTAAAATCATGAAATATTTTTTGAAATTACAAAACCAGAGAAGGGCGAACAGAAAGGAACAAGAATAGGGAAACTTTCTCTTCCCCCCGCATTGTTCTTTCTTCCCTTAGAGCATTTTGTTCCCGTTCCCGTTTCCTACTCTCAATTTTTTTTTTTGCTCTTTTCCATATCAAAAAAAAAAAAATTGGTATTTTCATTAATCTATTGCCCAAATAATCGCCATTAATTCTTTCATGTTTTTGGCAATGTTTTGTAAAATAGAAAAAATGTGTGGTGAAAAAAAAAGGGTGCCAATGGTATTTGTATAGCCTTTAAAAAAGCCTAATAGCTTTGATTACAACTATTTAATTGCGGCATTAAAAAAATTCATCAGCCGTAAACCGCATTTATTTACTAAATATTTGATTGATAACTTACTGCTACATCCACTGATACTACTGACCAACCACTAGTATGAGTTTCACTCAATTCTTCGTGTCGTTTTGACTTAACTTCATCGGCCACAGTAAACCGTACAGCAAAATAACGTTTGTCATCAAATTTAAAGCAAATACGTTGTACATCATTTGGATAATTTTCATATTGGAAATTGTATGGAGCCACAAATGAAAAATCATTCCACAAATAAACTTGACCGGTATAATTTGCAGCCAATACCTTACTTGTTACAGCCCCAGGTGTCAACGAAGCTCTGCAATAACTCAATCAACTTGTTACATCAATAGAAGATCAAACAGTGATGCTAAAGTAAATACAAAGGTAGAATATACTTACGGATTGACTTGAATCAGTTGTGGAGTCCAAATCTGTATCCAGTAGAAGTTTAACCAAGATAGACCCCATTCATCACGATCCCACGATGTTTTTGTGTCGTTCCAACTCTGAAGTCATTCACTTTTTACTTGATTCCAAAAAAAAAAACCAAGGTTAAATGTATAAATTAATTTCAAAAAAAGAACAGAAACAAATGTACCAACCAAAACCATTCTGCCGTACACTCGTACGTACTGTTTTTCTTCTTCCTAGAAAAAAGTTACTGCTTTTGCCAGAAATAGTTAGTTGAATAAAGAAAAAGTGTGCTATACAGTTTTAGAATATAATAAAGCAATTGTTAAATAAAAAAAAAAGTTATTCTTGTCTATTTTCTCAACCATTTCAACGTGTGTAATCCTTAAGCTTTCCACACGAACTGTTCTGGTGATATTTTGTTGTGTTGCATTGCTGTAGGCTGCGGCAATCAAAGCTCTCAACTTCCAAGCTCTGTCACCACCCTGGCAGCTGTGGCATGAAACCCGACAATTGGCCATCATCCTGGAATTCATGAGGTTTCTAATTACAGTAGTTTTCGAAGTACTCTATCAGCTAAAGCAGTGAACTTCTTTCTGATAACTGTTATCAAAAGTTGTAGTAAGTTAAACAATTTTTGAGTTAGCAGTGGCAAAAGCTAAATTAATTTAAAAGCTAAAAACTTTATTTGGTTTGACAGTGTATTTGCAATATTACTTTGACAGAAGAAATCTGAAAAAAAAGTACTTTTTAGACCAAAAGGAACTAACCAAGCTGCATTGGTTTGGCATTCGCCTTGTGCTGCCCATGTTGAACATTTTGGATCTGCATCTACGCAAGTTGTATCAACGTTATTAGCTGCATTTACTGAAACTAATAGTCAACTGTTTATTCTTAGTTAGTTTTTACTTGAGAAAGAAAAAAAATTTTTTTTTTAAATTATATTATGCGTATATTATAAAAACATTTTGTTTTCTTTCTCTTATTTTTTTTTTTTTTTCCAAATAAACAGTCCTTAATTGACAGAAGCGTTAATCTGGTTGTCAACAAAAACAAAAGAAAAGCTAATTTTTATTAAATTTATTCTGTTATGCCGTTAATGTTGTACATTTTTTTTTTTAATGTTCTAACCAAAAATATTTTTAGAGATTAAAAAACAAAAAGTTTTTTAAACACTTCTTTCTTCTGTCTATCTGCAACTATCGCTAACAGATTCAGCTTTGTTTGAGTTCACTTAATTTTTCCAGAAATTTCTAGAATAAAAAAATTGTTTTTCTCAGTTTTGAAAATAGTAGAAGAAAACAGAACTACATCAAAAGATTTTAAACAAAATTTACGA